GCTAAAAGAACAATAGCAAATGCTGCTGAAACAGAGCACTGAACAAGAATTTAAAAATTATCATAACTATATTTATAGCAGCAAAGAAATTTATAAATTCTCCAATATAAAAATGTATTTTTCTCTAAATACTCATCCACTGTTTATAATGGAATAAAGTTCCTTCTATATCTCATTTCAGGAGATTTAAGATCTAATACTAAATACTCATAACTTTAACTGAGTAGTTAAAGTTTCTCAGCTGATTTCTCCAAGCTGTGGTTTCGCTAGATAGTAGATAGGGATAGTGTTTTATTTCACTATCTTGAAGTTTGAAAAAGATGAAATAATTATAATTCCATCTAATACCAATTGGAGTTGAATGGTAAGACTGTGATAGATAAAGTATTAATGTATTTTTCTTTCTTCATCTAATAAAAAGTCAGTTATTTTATCATTTCTTTTCAGTTATGTAATCAACAAGATTTTTGTTCACCAAATATAAGCTATCAACATTTATAATATCTTCTAAGTTATTTGAGAATAATGTTTCATTCTTATTTTTTGTATATAATTTTAAATTTATTTTTCTTATTTTATTTCTGATAGATTGTTAGACATCTTCATCTATTTCATTAAACATTGTAAAGTTCCCTTGTAATTTTTTCATATTTAGTTTCTTCTAAATCTTTTGCACGTAAGTAAAGATTATCAAAATTTAATTAATAATATATTAGATTTAACAGCAAATTTGTTTTATCACAGCCAGACAGATCAGCAATTAAAAAACTCTAAATGGATGTCTAGGTAATTAAAGACTTTGATGAGGATGTTTAAACTCCTCTGGCTCTGTGTAATATTTAGTCTCTTATCATTTATTTAACAATAAGTTTAACTACAAGTTAGCTACTTTTAATTTTAAATAAATGATCAGTGAAGAAGATAAAAATACATAAACTCATTAAAATGACTATCAAAACTAGACAAAGAAATTTGAAATAAGAATGAAGCACAAGCTACAGGTAAAGTAAGATTTAAAGAATTAATAACAGAGTTTCACAAGCTAATCCTCTAGAAGAAGCTCAAGAAATGCAAAGAGAATTGAAAGCAACAGAAGATGTATTTAATAACTTTATAATACCACAATTTGAATCTCGGTTGGAATCAACAGCTATTAAAGAACCAAAAACATTCAGCATTGATTTAGATGAAGGATTAAATGTTGCATTTTTAAAGGATCAAGATTTTCTATTACCATCCAAATCAATTAATAAACCTGTTTTACTTGAAGAAATGATTGAAAAAGCAGAAAGCTTGTGTGGCATTTCTCAACATCAGTGTTTGGTTGAAATATCTAGATAACCAACAGCTGTGGAAATATGTTTTGTTTCTATGTTCTAACAATTCTGGAAGTAAGCATGTGACACTACCTTTCTGATTCCTGTTTTTCCAGCCCATTTCTCTTCTCCAATCTGGCGTGGACCTTGAATCTGTCTACATTTTTCTAGCTTACACAGAACTGGACTCAAAAGATTTTAATTCTAAATAAATGGAAAGAATTTGGAATCTAACTTGTTCCCTTCCTTTTTCTACCATGGCACATTCTTCTTTCTCAGCCTTTTCCCTTTTCACTTGGTTACTCTTTTGCTTGAATTTGTTGGAGAGAGATGCCTTTCTTGCTCAAGTATATTTACCTCCCTCTTATTTTGGGAACCTTCAACATTTAAACATAATGCCTCTCATAACAAAGGTTTTACCCCAAAAAAATAGATTCTAACTAAGTGAATCAGCAGAAGTAGCATATTTTTTGTTGCTGGTCTTGGTGTCGATCCTTCTCACCCTTCTGTTTCCCATCTATCTGAATTCTTCCTGTTTCTATGTGACATTGCTGTTTTGTTGCATGCAAATGAGCATGCGTCACCACCGCCTAGTGCATCTGAATCCCTCTATACTGATTGTTCAACCATCACTTCTTGATTTGGCACTAGTGTGTTAAGATGTGTCTTTCTTCAGTCATGTAGGATTTCTTAACATCAATGTTTGGTTGAAGTATCTACATAACCCACATCTTGATTATTATGAACAATGTCATGCTGATAAGTATTTCAATAAAAGAGAGAATGCTAAACATGAATTCTACATTAAAAATATAACAATGATATATTATAATGGTTATATTTCCCCAGAGTTAAAAATTATGAAACAAGATCGTTCTTCATTGCAAATGAGCATGTGACACCACCTCCTAGTGCAGCGGGATCCCTTATACTTCTGCTCACATCTAGCTTCCCAATTCAGTGCTGCCCTCTGTATGTGAATTTTTTCACTCCCCACTAGCATTGAGGCTCCCAATTGATGTGGCACTCATATGTTAAGATGTGTCTTTCTGATATGATATGTACTGTCTACATTTTTCTAGCCTACATAGAACAGGACTTAAAAGATTTGAATTCCAAATAAATGGAAAGAATTTAGAATATAACGAGTATTACAAATTATTATCAAAACATTATAGAAAGTTTTGAATACAAATACCATCATGATAATAAATTTATCAATGAAAAAGAGAATACTAAATATGAATTCTACATTAAAGATATAAACAATAACATACTCTAATGGCTGTTTTTGTCCAGAGTTAAAAATTATGAAGCAAGATGGTTCCTCAGTTGGAACAGATAATGTAACACACATCAATACAGAAAATAATTTTTCAAGAGCTGAATTACATATTAGTAAAACGTTCATTGAAGAAAATGAATTATCCTGTCTCACTCAACTTGTACAAGGATTAATAAATTTACAAATTATTACAGCATGAGCAAAGCATATAATATGTTATTATATATCAATACCTCAGAAACTTCAAGTAAACAGATTTTGGTACCTGATGATAAACAACATTGGGTGGTGTAGATGGTAAGAATAAAATTGATAAATTAGTATCTACATTTAAACGTGATGCCTCTTACAATGAAGGTTTTACCAAAAAATGGATTCTAACAAAAAATAGTAATAAAAGAAAGTTATGGATATTGATTAAACAATACTTAGGATTTTCTAATGACTAGATGTAAGCAGACAGCTACTTAAAACAAAAAAAATCAAGAGAGCTAAATAATGAAATTGTTATAAATTATATTGTCTTTAATATTGTAACAATGAAAAAATTACAATATTTGGGAAATAATTCATTAATAGAAAACAATGTGAAAAATAATAGAATTAGAAATTTCAGTGATCCTTCTGCAGATAGTGATGCCGCTATTAAATATTACATAGATAATTTAACTAGAAAGTCTGATGAAGTCAACCAAAACTATGTAGATAAATTAGATAAAACATTAGAAATTAATGTAAGTGAAATAGAAAATAAATTTGTAAATCTGAATGAGCTGTTTGATAATGATAAATAAAGTATTACTAACTTTAATACTGAAACTGTAAGAAAATACAATATTGGGAAGTAATTCATTAATAGAAAACAATGCAAAAAATAATGGAATTATAAATGTTAGTGATCCTTCAGCAGAAAACAATACCACCACTAAATCTTATGTGGATAATGAAACTACAAAGTTTACGTTCTATGTTATTGGATGTTTTGTGAATATTAATATTTTTATTAATAGAATGACTAAACATGGTTTCATAGATACAAATATGGTGCTTAAAGAGACATGTAATGAAAATTATTTGGAAAACGAAAATTAAATTTTTCTTTTGAATTAAAAATTGGAGAAAAGTAATAGGTCCATTTGAAATGAATGAATATTATTCAACGAAAATTCTGTTTTCTAACACTGAAAAAAATGATAAGGTAATGTTATCTATTTGGTCTCCTGATGATATTGACAGTGATGTATACTTAAAAATATAAAATATTATAGAAACATCTCCAAAAAACAGCAGATGATTTTCAGATAAACTCAGTTTGGTGTTAGAATTGTAGCTGTGGTAATGGATAAACACTGGAACGAGTTCCAAATATTTTTACTTGATCAATTTAACTAAGAAAGATATCAGGACAAAGAATAAAATAGAAGATCTTACTCTTGTTTATAATGGGATGAAAAACTGTAGAAATAACCAGAAAGCATGTATTATTGAACTTGGAATTTTGTAACAATTTTTGGGTTGTGTTTTAAAGGGGTGAGTCTCTGACTGACTTATTATATTTTTAAACATTTTTCATTTTTGAATTTTTTTGTATTCAGCTGGCAAAGAAACCCCCATACCCCTGATGGGGAGGTAAGGCAATGAAAATGATTTTTATCTTTGATGTTTTTAGTGATTTTAAACTTCTTTTAAATCATTTTTGGTTTTGACTATTTTTTACTGATTTTAGTCTATTTTTGGGTGTTTTTTTACGTTTAGAATTTTTGAAATTCATTTATCTTTAAGTGTCACAGAAACCCCTTCTATCTATTACTTAGTTCTATAAAGTGTTAAATGTTAATAAAAAGTTAAGAGGATTTTAAAATTTAAATTTATACAGAAAATAAATGAGTGAACTGTTTTAAAGATATAGAATGTAGCTTACATTAGAAGATAATGTGAGATCTATTACAGTTTTACACTATTCCTCTAATTTTCCAGTCTAAATGTATGATTTATTAAGAATGTATAACATTGAAAAGTTTTTTGTGGTTGTTTCAGCTTGTGATGATTCTAAATGTGAGATCTATTACAGTTTTACACTATTCCTCTAATTTTCCAGTCTAAATGTATGATTTATTAAGAAAGTATAACATTGAAAAGTTTTTGTGGTTGTTTCAGCTTGTGATGGTTCTAAATGTGAGATCTATTACAGTTTTACACTATTCCTCTAATTTTCCAGTCTAAATGTATGATTTATTAAGAAAGTATAACATTGAAAAGTTTTTTGTGGTTGTTTCAGCTTGTGATGATTCTGAATGTGAGATCTATTACAGTTTTACACTATTCCTCTAATTTTCCAGTCTAAATGTATGATTTATTAAGAAAGTATAACATTGAAAAGTTTTGTGTGGTTGTTTCAGCCTGTGATGGTTCTAAATGTGAGCTCCAAGTTAAATATGACCCTTTGGTATCCAGAGAGCTTTTCTCGAGACTTCGGAGATGTTAAAAATGACCTAGTCAACTGTAAAACTGGTACAATACTACCAAATTTACCCATGAGAAAGTTCTGGTATGGGTTTGAAAACTTTTCTAGTAAGTTAGTTTCACCAAATAAATGAGAGTTGAATATTACAATGAAAAACTGTGATGGTAGATTAGGGCAAAATATCTGTAGCTTGAAAATTAAAGCCATAGTAATGAATTATGCAGTATTTACTTACTTTTCATAACAACATATAAGACCATATAGAACCTCTTTTAATGATTTCATTAAAAAAAGAAAGAAACTTTCTTCTAATAACTTAAGCTTAAAAGAAAGAAGTCTGTTTTATAAACAACTGTTTTGCAAGTTCCATACTTTAGTGTGTTGTTGCTGGTTAAAACAGTTATTAATCTTAAGTTATAAAAAAGGTGCTACAGATGATAGTGTTGCATACACCAATTTCTGTTGTTAGCTTTAGACTAGGATTAATACATAAAACTTTTGTATAATGTAGCATTATCTTTTAAATAATCAAATTCTTTATTATCATGGTGTATTAACCACAGCAAAAAAGTATAAGTTACTGCATAAACAACTAAAATATTAACAAGAACTTATAATGTTTTTGCTATTACAAGGCAAAACTACAATTATAAAACAATATCAGTTGCATACTCCTCTCTCGTTATTAGATCTTAAATACAAATAATTGTTTATTGAGTCTCTACTCATAAATAATCATTTAACAGAATTTGTTTTACATCTTTACAATTCATTTGAATATGAAGTATGGTTTGCAAGGATAGCCTGGCAACAAATATTGCATGCTGAAAATTAGAGTATTGATAAGGTCATGAAATATCTTAGATTACCTCTTATCTGAAAGAATTATTCAAAAACATTTTTAGTGTCTGGAGTCACCTTATGGGGTGTAATTTATTTCCCAAGAATATCCAGTGAGCATGTAAGTCGCTTCATTTGATCGACTCTCACTTATTCAAGTAGTGAGGTGATCAGCTTAGCACAGTAGAGTTGGGAATTATCCTTTATGCTGGTTAATTGTACCAGCATGCATTTTATGACAGCATGATGAACATAGAATGATTTTCCTATAATGTATGGCATTATTGGTGCCATTATACACGTTACAGAAGTCTCACCATTCTCTCCAGTGCTTATTAATCCTGCTTACGTCCTACTTCTACTATCACCATATGTATCTTATTCCTTTATTAATCTGTTTTTAGATTTACTCAAAATTAGTATATGCTAGTTATCTGGGTAAAGGGTGAAGCACAACTTATCTGTAAAATGAGTATTGCTTCACTGGATGTATTCTTGGTACTACTGCAGGAGAGCTGTTTTGAGCTTTGCTGTGAGTGGAACACAGCACCCAGCTTAAAAACCAGTCCTGTGAAGTATGTTTCTGCCTACACATTGATCAGTGTTATATATATATATGTGTGTGTGTGTGTGTGTGTATGTTTATATAGACTTAGACACACACACACACACATATAACATAGGCTGACTGCTCCTTCATATGATTGGTCATCAGCTGTCCGACTTGCAGAACAGTTATTAGCATTTTAGGAATCTCCTGTGGACAGGAAATTACCT